CAAACTCTGGACAGTGGGACGCCCGCGTCCCCACTCAAGCCAAGCCAAGCCACACAGAGACGAACACACCAAGCTCCCATACCAAGCCGATCCTCCAGAGTTGAGAACACCGAAGTTGTCGAGGACGGAGACACCACCATGGAACCGAGTTGACGAGGGGGGATCCAAGCCACCTACATCACAGATCTAAACCCCACACAAGGAAAACGAGAGCCAAATCGAAGAGAATCTTGAAAAGGCATGGCCTGGGTCGGGGTATAGGGCATAGATCCATGGAAATCTGCACCCAAAATGGTGGGAGAGAAGCAAGGGAGGGGAAAGGAGGAAGGGAAAGGTCGGGAATGAGGGGTCGGCGTGAGGAGGTGGGAAGAAAAATGAGAATGGCGAGGGGTGGATGGTTGAGATGGGGAAGAGGGGGGAAAGGAAGGGAGGAGGAACTAGGAAAGGGAAGGGAGAGGCTACCACCGGCCCCCAGCCATAGTCAGAGCCTGGCGGCAAAGTGGTTGACGGCTAGGGTTTGCTGGGAGAGGGAGAGCATTTTGGGAGATAATTTTCAAAAAACAAAGGAAGGGGAGAGCTTTCAATGTTTCTTAAAACATTGCGTTTGTCAATTTCTTTGAACTCAATTAAATGCCTCAAATATTTCCGATTTAGCTAATATTATGCAAGAATGATATATGAGGTATAACTTGAAATAAACCGTTTGGAACTTTGGATCGTTAAAAAAGTGTATAAATTCACATAACATTTCAAAAAATTTTCAATATTTTATGAGTTGTGGAAGAGCATTAATCAAAAGAGGACTATCGGCAATGTGAGGGCCACCTATAAGACAATCATGGATATAATATAAAGACAGCAACATGGTGATTGCAATTTCCCACACTTAAATTTGAAAAATAAGCATGTTGGGTATGTATATGTTACTTCTATACTTTTTTTTTTTTTTTTTTTTTTTTTAAATTTAATTTGGGTGGGATATATTCTTGTTAAAATTGGGATTTTGTATCAGAGGGAAACTTGGTGACTTGTGGTGGAAGAGATTGAAATCCAACTTTAAAAGAAGTTAGGAGAGTTTCATCATGGGAATCATCTTCCTGGTAAATGGACAAGTAACGCCTTGGCTCCAGCCTTGGGTTGCCTTTCCAAATTGGTTGGTGCAATGCACGAGTTACTCGTTTTGAAAGCGGGGAGCTTAAACAATTTGCTGCCCATTCAAGTTGAGCGGTGGTGTCGGGTGCCCGTGTTAGGACTGTCACGTTTGCCGTCTTTGTGACAGTTTTATTTGGAATTTTTGTTTGTGGTGGTCTATTGTGGTAACATTATAGGGTTTAAATTTTTTTGTATCTTGTGCAAATTGTTTGTTCTTAGCTATGAAAAACTTTATCGCTTCTATCAAGAAAAAATAAATAAATAAAATTTGGGTGCTGGTGAAGGTTAATGCCTCTTCTTGTACATCCTCTCCATACATCATCGACATGTGACTCGTTGAATTCCCTTCATCGTCCTTGAACTTGTTGAACATTTCTGCTTCACAAATTCGTACATTTCTCACTTGTTGAAGCCGAAGTCGATTGTCCCATATCAGATCTTGGACCAGCCGGATCTTGGGCTGCAAAATAAATTGCTTCCAAATGGTATATTCCACAATCGGGGACACGCTATGTTTTACTAGTCCAGGCCAACTTCTTTGAATGTGGTGGATTGGCAATTGGTATCAGCATTTCACATAAGGTCGCTGATGGATCCACACTCGGTAAATTCATTCGTCGCTGGGCTGCTATTATTGCCCTTGGCTCCATGGCTGTCGCTGTTGAAATAGGTGCTACAGCATCACGTTTCCCACCTCTGGATTTCCTCAACTCACCGGTTGATCGAGCTCCGATAAATTTGTCTTTGGTAGTGTTGTAAAAAGGAGATTGGTGCTTGATGCTCCAAAGATTGCTTCTCTCAAGTTTCTAAGCTGCCAGTACCGCGGTTCCAAATCCTACCAGAGCTGAAGTTGTGTCAGCGCTTGTTTGGAAATGTGCAATGCAAGCATCGAGATCAAACAATGGTTCCGAAAGGCCATCTGCGTGGAATCAAGCTATAAACCTACAGAGAATATTGCTTCCGCCCATGCGAGACAACGTGTTGGGAAATCTTACTTCCCCCCTTCTTTAGTTTATAGCAAGGACAGAAGAAGGTGAAGTTGTACATCTTGCAACCTTGGTTGCTAAACTGAGAGAGGGCTTTGAAAAGTTCAAGTTAAGCTGTGTGTGCTAATGGAATTACAGCGGAGGAAGTAGTTCAACTATTTAGAGAGTATGGCGAGCACGTTGGAAGTAGTGCTTCTGGAGAGTTGCAAAACATGATCAGGTTGGCGGATGCAAGCGATGGCATGGGCATGGAAGTGCACGTGACTTTGAAAGACGAAGGCCTTTTTTCAACCAACCAGGAGCTGCTTGCATATGCTTGTTCCGCAGCGACAGAGCCAGAATTTTATATGTCGCGGACTCTTTCTTGAATGTGAATTTGAGTACAAGAAATGGTGGATGGTCACGATAAGGTTTATAGGATAATTAGCGGATGAATCTCCATTTCTTTGCTGCTAAATTGACCCACTTGTACTGTTTGTTTTCCTTGGTTTTGTTAACAGTACAAAACAATGTGTTTTTTTGTAAAAACTTTGTAACTTCTTTGTTTGATCACCTAACGGCGTATTTTTTGGACTGCTCTAAATTTCGTCTAAGTGTAACCATCTGTTCCAAACTTTAGTAAGAAAAAAGTTGTTTTATTGCAACTGGTCTCTGAAATTAACCAAACTCCATTTGTATGGTCTCTTACTTTTAAAATCGATGATATAGCCCCTAAGTTTGATTGACGCACATCGATTTGTTGCTTCCATCAAAACTTTATTAAACTTTTTATTAGTGTGAAGTGTGGCACATTAATAGATTATCCGAACTAACTCATATCACACCACGTGACTTAACCCTAGAAAACAATTTTTTTTCAAAAATTTAAAACTACTCATAGAACTAATAATGAAAAAAAATAAAAAATTTATAAGAGCATCTCCAATTTGGTGGCTGATGTGGCAATGTCAAATTTTATCTTTCTTCAATCCACATGTTTTTTTGTTATAAATGAAATTTGTATGACCCATTTTTTATAGGATAATTAGCGGATGAATCTCCATTTCTTTGCTGCTAAATTGATCCACTTATACTGTTTGTTTTCCTTGGTTTTGTTAACAGTACAAAACAATGTGTTTTTTTTTTTTTTTTTGTAAAAACTTTGTAACTTCTTAATCCGGGCCAATATGTTTGATCACCTAACGGGCGTATTGTTTGGACCGCTCTAAATTTCGTTTAAGTGTAACCACCTGTTCCAAACTTTAGTAAGGAAAAAGTTGTTTTATTGCAACTGGTCTCTGAAATTAACCAAACTCCATTTGTTTGGCCTCTTACTTTTAAAATCGATGATATAGCACCTAAATTTGATTGACGCACATCGATTTGTTGCTTCCGTCAAAACTTTATCAAACTTTCTATTAGTGTGAAGTGTGGCACATGAATAGATTATCCGAACTAACTCATATCACACCACGTGAATTAACCCTAGAAAACAATTTTTTTTCAAAAATTTAAAACTACTCATAGAACTAATAATGAAAAAAAATAAAAAAAATTATAAGAGCATCTCCAATTTGGTGGTTGATGTAGCAATGTAAAATTTTATCTTTTTTCAATCTACATGTTTTTTTGTTATAAATGAAATTTGTATGCCCATTTTTTATAGGATAATTGGCGGATGAATCTCCATTTTTTTTGCTGCTAAACTGACCCACTTATACTGTTTGTTTTCCTTGGTTTTGTTAACAGTACAAAACAATGTGATTTTTTGTAAAAACTTTGTAACTTCTTAATCCGGGCCAATCTGTTTGATCACCTAACGGGCGTGTTGTTTGGACCGCTCTAAATTTTGTCTAAGTGTAACCACCTGTTTCAAGTTTTAGTAAGGAAAAAGTTGTTTTATCGCAACTGGTCTTTGAAATTAACCAAACTCCATTTGTATGGTCTCTTACTTTTAAAATCGATGATATAGCCCCTAAGTTTGATTGATAACATCAATTTGTTGCTTCCGTCAAAACTTTATCAAACTTTCTATTGGTGTAAAGTGTGGCACATGAATAGATTCTCCGAACTAACTCATATCACACCACGTGAATTAACCCTAGAAAACATTTTTTTTTCAAAAATTTAAAACTACTCATAGAACTAATAATGAAAAAAAATAAAAAAATTATAAGAGCATCTCCAATTTGGCGGCTGATGTAGCAATGTCAAATTTTATCTTTCTCCCATCCACATGTTTTTTTTTTTTGTTATAAATGAAATTTGTATGTCCCGTTTTTAATCTATTTTTTTTTTCAAGATTATAATTGATGCATTAATAGGATCTACACAATAAAATAATTAAAATTTGACGTATCTGCTGGAACTTTAATATGTCAAATTTGACAGCAAAAAGCTCATATGTCAATCCATGTAGGATTAACATATCTGGTAGAGTTTTATTCTACTTTCAAATTTGATTACGTAACATTCGACTTAAGATTTGACATATCATTTAGAGATGGTCTAGCTCGTAAAAAAAAGTTTTTGAGTAATCACTCAGATTAAGATAATGAAGTCTTCCCTTTTTCAGTTAAGTGGTACCACTATCATTAGTACTTTAAAATTTTATTGTGCATTCATCGTAAAATATGAAAATATAGAGTGCATAATGGGTTCGATGAGTGTCAATGATAGCAACCTATTAGTTTTTGTTTTAATTTTATGAGTTTTTGTATTAGTTTAATTGGTTTTTTTTTTCTTTTTAGAAAAATAGTTTGTGGTAAATTCATAAATGATTTACGATAAAAAGAAAACCCAAGAAAAAAGAGAGTAAACATAAGTATTGACCATTTAAAGAATTAAAAATTAAGAAAAAGGCCGTATTCATACCAATTATTTGGTTTGGATTTGCGTTGACTGTCTGGCTCGTTCAAATAAGAACAGAAAAATGCGTTGAAGTGAGATTCAGTAACTTTCTTAAAGGTTGAGTTAGGATCCATGTGTTCAACATAACTTCATAAAACTCTTTGATTTCTCGCTTTCAGAAGGTTCTTTCACATGGGTATAATCAATAATCTCAATTGATTAATTCTTCGCTGGGTCCGGATTCACTGTCAGCTCGATTTCCATTCGCTTAATTCTGGGTAAGTTTTTAACCTAATTGCTATTAATTTCTTATCATCTGATTACCTGGTAATTGTTTTCACTTTGGGTACTTGATTGTGGATCTTAATGTTTGTCATTACTCAATGCCTTTTGGATTAGTTTGTGAGATTTGACTGTTTATGCTTAATCTTTGCATTAAATTGATGGATCTTAATATCACGTTGTTGATGCTAATTAAGGACTTAATTGATCTTTTAGGATGTGTTGGATTTCTTGATTGCAATTGGAGCAAATAAATGAAAATGGGGGAAGTGAGATTTACTGCATAATCTGTAATGTGGGTTTTGTGACTTAAAAAATTGCAATTTCGAAGATCTTCAGATTTTGCGAGAACTTGGTGGATTTCCTTCTGTATGAGATGAACTAACGGCGAGATTTTAACTACTTTTCGGGTTGGAATTACTCGAAAATGCATAGGTAGTGATCTCACTCATACCACTCAATACCCTGCCTTATCCACTCATGCTACTGAAAATGAGGTTTATGTACCCTGCCTTATCCACTTATGCTACTGAAATTGAGGTTTATGTACAGTCATTTTGCAGTTGAATGAGTTTCCAAAATATCGCATATTTCGACTATTAAAAGTTGACCGTAAATTTGTGAGAAACTCTACTTACAGTCTGATTTAGAGCTACATTAATGTTCAAATACACAATTCATATCCAGAACCACATTGGCTGATGCTGTTGCAGGAACGGCTCTTGAACTGAGTTGGTTGTAACATCTCCCTCTACAAGAATCTGTTCGCCGAGAAATTCCCTGTCACAAGGTGTCTGCTCAAACCTTTGATTAAGACGAGAAGAAACATGGTTCAGACGCTGGAAGCTATAAAGGGTGGTGGAGGATCCATTAGAATCGGGACCACTGGGACAGTCAGTTCCCTAATGACAAGAGAATTAGAGTCCAGCAAAGTCGCCTCTCCGACGCCTGCATCATCCAGAAATAAACATCAAACAGCTTCTGTTTCTGTTCTCTGTGGTGCTACTACTCCAAAAAGGCTACAACCAAGAAAGTCATGTGATGAAGCTAGCAGCAGTGGAAGCAGCAATGACATTAATGCAAGACACCCCGAAGTTTCCCAGAAAACAAAAACTCATACTAAAAATACTAGTCAAATCCCGATGCTGAGCTCTGATCATCCTGGTCTGGATAAAACTCCTAGTAGGCAGAAAACTAGTAAAAAAGGAACTAACATTGTTGAAGTTGTGGACATAAAATGTGGGAGCTCGGATAGAGCATGGGCTGGCCCTATAACAAACCGACTGAAGAAGCTGGGTTTCTCAAAGCTATCTGAGAGCATTGTCTAACCTGGCAATTTCTTCCCATCGGATCTTAGATTCCTGTAACTGTATGCAGAAATACCAGTTGGTCGATTGTTCTCCGAGACTTCCACCATAGAACATATGCTTGGTAGGAGCCCATTGCATCTCTTTTTCTTCTTTTGTGTTTTTATAACTGATTCAAAAGTCGGGCCCAAATGCCTAGTAGAGGAAGCCATGTCTTTGAGTTGGGGATGAGCCTTTTGCGAGCTACATCGGTTGCTTAGTTCGAGTTGGCTTAAGTGCTCGATTTCTCTCATTATGAGGGATCCAACGGTGCCTCTGGTGCCTATTTCCGCAGGAGCACATGCCGCAATCTTTGCAGCGTCTCTGGTGGCAACGGTGCCGGATTTATACATGTTCGGTTCTGTTGGAGTTGAAGGGGTGGCTTGCAGATGACGAGAGGTGGTTTTGGATTCTGTACTGGTGAGGAAATTGCTTTGCTTTTGGGACATCTGGTGTTTTGCCTTTGGTATTTAACAAGGATTCTTTACCTTATGTTCTTTATCTAAAGTGAACAGCGTTTGTTGGTTGGTTGGTGATATAATCACCTCATTCATGTGCGTGCAGATAAAAAATTAGATTCATTTACTTGTGCCCTCTCTTTTCTAACCATTTGGATTATGTCATGGATTTATTATGACCGGATGATCCTGTGGATGATGTTGGTTACTCTATTTTCTCCTTAAGCAAGTTGTGAAATTCCCACATGACCGGTCTAGCAGCATGCAGTCTCCGCCTTGCAGGAGGCTCTGAGTTCAAATCTCACGGACAATAGTTGCCGATTGAAAAAAAGTAAGTTGTTGATTTCTTTTCATGTCTTGAATGGCAAGGGAAAATAAAAGGATTGTTAGTTTTGGTGAAGCAACTTGAGTGCTTCGTAGATGTGGGGGATGCTGGTGCAGTCCTGGTTTTTCTTTTTCTATTTACTTCACATTTGAAGAGGTCATGGGAAAGGTGTGACAGAATTTCTCAACACACCATGTGAATTTTCCCCTTCTCCTAATTTGAGAAAGGGTTCATTCTCTCCATTTCTTCTTAAATCTGATTGGTCAGAATAAATGAAAATAAATTAGTATCAGAATATGGTTTGGTTATTGGTATGTAGAGAACATATAATTAAGGGGGGCAGGTGGAGAAATTGAAGTTTTGAAATTGAAGAGAAAGGTTGGGAGGCAAGACTTTCAGCCATTTTTCTGCAGAAGAGTTAAGAATCTGTCATGAGCAGAGGGGTATGGGTCACTATGAATTGGCTGCGACAATTTCTGTTTCTGTTTCTTTCTTTTTCTTCGTTTTCAGATTTCGGTTTTGAGTCTTTTTCGCACGAATTATTTTCACATTTCTTCTTCCATCGTTGCTTCGCCCTTCTTTATTCATCTTTTCTCTCGCATACTATTCCCCTATCTACAGTAAAAAAAGGAAACTGAAAAAGAGATGGTTATTAGAACGATTCGTCTTTTTATAACTTATAAATCTTATAAATAAACTATAAACAAAATTATATCACTTTATTAGTTATTAGAACGATTCAGATTATTTATTTGTTACACAAAAAAAACTTTTTGAACTCCCGGTAGAAAGAGATTTCGCTAACGAAAAAGCTTTCAATGCTGCCCTATATCCCTTCCTTTTCCAAATATTTTTACGAATACGTTTTTTTGAAATAGAGGTGCGCTTTTTTGGAACTGCCATTAAAAAGTTATAATAGGTTTTTCGGTTGGATGTGAAAGACATCTATTGTTCAAAATCAATTGTTCTTTACTATTCTCTATCACATAAAATATTAATAAGAACGATAAGGTACACTAAGCCAAATAGATTGAAGTTGATAAAATAAAATAAAATAAAAAATCAATCAATTAAATCTTTTTAATGATTTCTTATGAGTTCTTGGTACTTCAAGAAGTGTGAAATTGTTGAATTTATCCTATCACGTTACTTGAAGATAGAGATTCAAAATAACTTGTTTATTTATGTTTATTTATTCATGTTATGATAGTTATAGTTAAAAATAAAAATTAAACAATGGGGTTAAATTGATTGAATTCTTGTTGAGACTTCGTCATACATTATCCATTCTTCATATAGAAGAAAAAGGTATAGATTATTATGTACCAACCAAACCGATGATTATTCACGATTCCATAATCGAATTAATTACATACTGCAATTCATGTTAGGAATCCCTTTGAATGTGGAATGGTTGAGGAACTCGTCAAATAACCTTATTTGATGGACGGGAAATGAAAACACTCTCATGTTCAATCATGATCGTTGTTTCCGTATTGTTTTTACTTGATTTATTTAATTTGATGGTAAAAAATAAAAAAAAAGGCGTGTGAGAAGCTATTTAATCCAATGAATACTCTGCATGACTGGCTTTGTATTTTATTTTAATAATCCGAACTGTTTTCAAGTCTTCAGTGTAGATTATCCTTACAAGTTAAGTCTACCCTTGAGTCCCTGACCCTCCATTTTATCCCTATCCCATACAATCCCTTATACCATTGTAAGTCATAAAACAAAAGCTAACTACAAGATACAACATTATTGCTGGAGACACAACCCTTCGCTTTTTCACATTACTTCTCAAGGTATTGGAGAATTGGTATTAGCACTACAATTCGAAGAAAAATACTCTTATTAAAAATGCACAATTAAAATTTTAAAGTGTTAATAATAATTTTCGAGTGTTTAACTGTTAATAATTTAAACTATTGCCTACTTCAAAAAGCAATCATACCACACCATAAATTATCTTGACCGATTCAATTATCCACACAAATGGCTTGAATTGTTAGAGCATGTCTACTGGTGCTCCAAATGCTAGGGCAATTGGGTTAAATTACTTTTGCCCCAAAAAATATTGGTCCACAGGCCCAAAATTTGGTAGGCAACTTGTAGGCTCCAAGAAGCCCGTTGGACTGTTCGTCCAAGAACTTTTAGGCCTTGAGCTCGCTGGCAGTGGCAACGTTAGCTTGGTGACAAACACGCTCCAACCCCGACATCCCTAAATATAAGGGTAGACACGTGCTGACGGACACTCGAGGGTGACGAAGCCATTTTAAACGTGCATATAAATAAAATATGTAATTAGAAATAGATACACCAATGCAGAATCATGTTCAGAGCAAACAATTAATCAAGAATAAGGTGAAGGAATTATTATAGAAAGGTATGAACCGAGGAATGTGTCCTACACAAAGGAGACTCAAAGATGCCTGAGCGGAAGTGCCTTGACGCGGGGATCATGTGCCTCGATTCTAACTCCTAAGGGGGCACAAAACAGAAAAGGTGAGTGGATCAAAGTTTATAATAATACTAATAATAGGAAAACCATTTTTATTTCTGAACATACTAACCCCCTGTTTTAAAAACATATATAGTCCTACATAGTAAGTTTTTCTGAAAACTCTAGCATGCAATGAAAACATTCATAAAACATGTATAATGTAAAACCATGCTCAATGATGATGCTATCGTCGTCCGAAGGCAAATATGTAAATCTCCTTAATATTGTACTCTCTCTAGGGGTATAATAGTCGCCCGAAGGCTGTACCTGTCCATCACCGGAAGGTGAAGCTGTACGACACTGAGTTACGCTAATGAAGAAACATGGTAGGCCCTATCACTCGAAGGTGAAGCTGTACGACTCTGGGTAATGCCAGAGAAGGAATACACAACATCACACACTCCGACACTAGCCCTGGGCTAGTGAAGTTGGGGGTATATCATCCATATCATCAACTCCTCATTCGCCCAAAGGCAGTACCTGTCCATCACCCAAAGGTGAAACTGTAAGACATTGGGTTACGCCAGTGAAGAAACATGGTAGGCCCCATTACTTGAAGGTGAAGCTGTACGACTCCGGGTTACGCCGAAGAAGGAATATATCCATAAAGATCCTTAACTGTGTCTTATGGTCATAGACATCTACATACTCACGTTGTGTGGATATGTTGTATGATAACCCGCTAGATAAGCAGTGAAATCATATCTCAAAATCTCATCTCGTAAATCCATATTCATAAATCCGTAATATAAATCATATTTGAAAGCCATAGTATTTCATATACGAGAATTCAAATATTCGTAACCTTTAATGAAACGTAAATTTGATAAATCATAAATATCTCATAAACCATAAATATGGAAATCCGGAAAACATAATATGAAACGTATTCGATGCATAAAATATGAAATGCATGCAAGCCTAATATTTTACAAAAACATGCAAGTTAAGGAAGGGGTCCACTCACATATATTTTACTGTTCGAAAGTCGTTCGAGCTAGCGAGGATGGAGTCACTTCTCACGGTGCACCTAAGCACATATAGAGGTCATTTAGTAAAACTCTACCAAGACGTTAGAATTTGAAAAAACGGATAGCGGATTTGGAATCAGGACGTTGAAATTAGTCTAGGAAGAGTCCTAGTAGAAACCCAAAAAGTCAACATTGACCAGTCAATGGTCAACATTGCTAGAAAGTCAACGGTCGAGTCTGGCTTAGGTTGTTGGGCTGGGCCGGGGTTAAGGTTATTGGGCCAAGTCTTTGGGCCGGTTACATGTTAATGGGTTTGGGCTCGCTCAGATTACTGGGTTAATGGTTTTTGGGCTTGGGCTATGGGTTAGCAGATCAGGCCAAAGTTAATGGGTTAAGAGATTTGGGGCTGGGTTAACGGGTCACAAGGCTCACAACGAAGAAGAAGGTCAGATTTCGGCCGGAAGTTTCCCGAGCTCTGGTGGAACTCGAATATCAACTAAAAAAATCACAATATAATATACCAAAATGAAGCTCGTGAAGCAAGGAATCTAAAAATACCTTTGGTTTCTTCGACTGTGGCGGGAAAATGGTCTGCAAGTCATGGTATCCCTTGCCGAAATCTGGCAAGTATTCCCTGAGTTATTTTGTGTTCAAACCTCACTCATCACACCAAAATGTGATGCCACACGATGTAAAATGAAGAGATATAAGTTTCCCGATGCTTAACCTACGTTGGAAAGTTGAGGAACCTCATCGGAGTTACTCCTCCGCATCATAGCTTCGTGGTTCTTGCATCTTTGTTCCTGTTTCGAGGGTGTAGGAGAAGGTCGGAGGAGGGTGGTTGGTATGTGGTGCTCGTCGGAGATGATGGTGAATAGTGATGGCGTGTGGTGGTGTCTTGATGGAAGAGAAGAGAGTGCAAAGAGAGAGAGACAAGGAGAGAGAAAGGTAGCCTTTTGCTACTCGGAGTAAGCGACGGAAAGGTCTCGAGGGTGGTGGGTTGCTGGAGTTGGGTGCGGTGAGTGGTGATGTGCTCAGAGATGGATGTTGCAGAGATGAGGGAAAAGAGAAAGCTTGAGAGGGGAAGAGAGATCCGGGAGAGAAAGGAGAGGGGGAGGATTCCAGAAGATTGAGGAAGAAACTGCCACGTGTCAGCTCCTCAATGGTTCATGATAGGGAAATATCTTCAATTGTAAAATTACCAAAGTACCCATCGTTCAGAGTCCCGTAAAATCTTCATTTTAATTCCAAATTCACTTCCTCTTATGCCCACTCACTCGTAACGACAAGTACTACGAGGCTACGCTAAGGGAATAAATCTTACGTGA